AGCAATGATGATAACCTAAGTATTTGACATCCATAGACACTTCATTTTGCAAGAAAATTTATTATTGATTCAGCACATGTAGTATTTCAGTGTGTAGTCTTAACCTTTGCTAAGGAAAAACTGCTCTTTCTCAGTAAGGTCTGATGTAGGCATGTGGGCATGTGCATACATGTGAATATGTGTGTTGTGAGAGAGAATATGAATGATGCAGGCCACTGCTCCACCCGTCTTGCATCACCTTTCCTCCATCTTATTTATGACGTGGCTCAGTCTCAATTTCCCTCCATAAAAGAGAAATAATTTACTTTGATTTGACAGAGGAATGAAGTCCAGCCATCAGCGATTGGGCATTAGTCCAAGCAAGACAATTCTGGACAAACATTGCCAAAGTCTGCTGCTGACCACATTCCTGTACACGATGGCCAACTGTCTGTGCTATTCTGAAAATCAATGAGACTTATTTTTGGAAATGCTCATTCATTTCACTGAGTTTCAGCGGGCTTTGCTTCCTTCTCATAATCTTCACTTGCCCCAAAGCATTTACAAATCACACATGCTCCGTGGAGGAGCCCACTGGAGTGTGTTGTGGGGTTGAACCCTGGAGTCAAAATAAGACCACTGGAGGCTGCTAATTGATTAAAAAAGCAGGCAAGGATTTATTGAATTGGCCAGGATGGCCTCGAGAACACATGCAGGTGGAGTCCACACTCATGACCGCGCTGTTCCAGGTGTAGGCAGTCCTTTTAAAGGTCTAAACCACAAAAATTTCCTTTGTTCTAAATTCTAAATTCTAAATGCTAGGAATAGCTCGCAGGGTCATTCCCAGCCATATCCTGCTGGACATTGGAATGTGACCCTATCTTGCAATAGCAGATAGTACAGAGCAGAGCTGAGCAGTTAATCTCTAAAGGTTATCTACAGTTTCTACTCCTGAAGCTACCAAGTCAGTGGGAATCAATCTCCTGTGGTCCTGGTCCACAAGCACAGGAAAACTGCCTTAGCCTCCAGGTCTCAATCTGGAAACTGAGGCAGCTATCCTATTGTTTAAGCAAGTAAATGTGTGCAGAAGCCAGAATAGCAGGGTTAAAATTCAAACAGCAGTTTTTACCTAAGTATGATTGCTACCATACTTCAGAGTGTGCTGCAGGATTGCTTACAACTCTTTACTTTCTTACTAAATTTCCAATGATACAGTCCAACCATTTGCAGTGAAATGAACTTAGGAGACTAATTGTTGTATGAGGTATATATGGTAAGAAGGATTTAAGAATTAATAATAACTGATATGGTTGAACATGCCTGACACTGTTGCATTAACTGTACACTTGCTGTGTAATTGAATGATTAGAAATACCACATCAGGTGCATGTTATCTCCATTCTACAGATAGGGGAATCAGAGTGCGGAGTGCCAGGTGCTTTGTCTTCAATCTTACAAAGCTAGGGGCGGAAGACTGTGTATGTGCCAGGTGTTTGACCCTGGAACCTGTTCACTTCCACAACTACATGGAGCTGCCTTAAAAACCAGAAGTTTTACCAAGATAATAATAATAATAATAATACACACCAAAAGTTTAATTTGTCCATTCTCAAAATGGCCGTTTCAATTATGATGTTGTTTACCTTAATCTCTTCTCATTTTAGTTCCATCCACCACCTTTGCTATTTTAGGGTCTCTCATCTGTTGGAAAATCAGTGTGCAAGGGGATATATCTTCCGGCAATAGGAAATTCCTCATCTGTCCTATTTTCCAGTGGCTTGATAAAATCATACATGAGTCCAGAAAGAACCATATCATCTTTTTATGTTTCCTTTCAAGTGATAAAAGTAGCTTTATGTAATAGGAAAATTATATCCTTGCACCAGCATTGCATTAGTCTTTGGGGTTGCTGTCAGCTGTGCATTCTCTTCCCTTTATGTTTGGTTATATCTTTAGTGCCACCAGTTGCGTCATAAAGCAGATCTTTAACCAGCCTTGAGTTGTTTTGTGGATGCCCATAGCTAGTTCTCCCTGCTTAAGAGCGCACTGCAGGACTTTCATCATCAGTGTGCTGTCTGTGTTTCCATGGTTATTTTTTTTTCTTTTTGAACATTATTAGTGCTACACACTGTTTGGGCTATGGCCTGAGTATAGAATCTATTTTCTACATCAGAATTGGGGTTTGCAGCCAAGGGAACATATTTGCATTGTCTTGTAACATTTCTCACTCCAAAGTCAAAAGTTGTTAGTACTATTACATGCGTTAAACAAATCTATTTTGTTTCTTTGAACTTGTTAAAGCTGAGTGAAAGGGCAGTATAAATTACCACATGTCAAGCTGAAATATTAATTTGATGGTGTATTTTGTAATGTATTTCTGTTCCCAGTGGATTGTTTAATTGCCCAGGTCTGTTAAATGTGTTATAAAACACAGCATCCGAAGCCACTAATTTCACCGTCATGCCTGGAGAGCACAACTAAGAGAAAGTTAGAAAGCTAGCACAGGCCTTTTAAAAGAGTCTGAGCTCCTTCATTCTGCCCTGTTTTAACTTTTGTGTGTGTTTGTTTTTAATCAGTGATCTGGGGGCAGACATACAAAGCATGCTTATCCAATCAGCACATACCCAAGTCTAGGTAAGATGACTAATACCCAAATGTAAAATCAGGACTCCAGTAGCTCTTGATACACTGGAGTGATGCACTGAAAACAAAGAGACAGAGGTTAGTGAGGGTAAAAGTATGTCCTATATTTTCATTCAGAAAGTCGCTTACCTTACTTAGTAGAGAGGAGAATCGGCTCAACAGCAGTGGTTTGAATTTCACGCTCCTATGGAAATTCAGACTGGACCAGCACCCTGTTCAGACTGCTGAAAGAGTATGAGGTCCAGGGAGGTAGACAGTGGAATTTAGGACTTGGAGTCCTTCTTTTGGAAAAGTGCTGATAACCTGTGAGAGTTCAGGGGTTTACCAAATGGTGAAAGTTTTACTACAATAGCTTCTAGTAGGAAGAACTGGAGGGAGCAAAGCATGTTTTGTCCTGAACAGAGAATACTTAGAACAGGGCAATGCTTTTCAAATGATCAGCTTTCCTGGGTAAGAGCTGAGACTTTTTACTATTTCTGCAGAGGGTAGAGCTAAGATAAGTGAGTAGACATGCAGGAAGCAGAGTGTAGACTGTTATACAGGGGGATTATTTACCTGGTAAAGGTGCTTTTTAAAATTATCAGAGCCTCACATGTTCATAAGCTGTCTGTCTGTCTAGAATGTTTTTAAACATTTGGATGGAAATTGGACCAGGTGACCGCTTAACATCTGTTTTATCTTTGAGGTTGTACAGCTGCTGTTTTACTTATTGCTGCCAGGGCATACAGTGCAGACATAGTGTAGTAATATTCTTATTTTTATGTGTTATTGATTTAGAATGCTTAATTTTTATCATTGACAATAATTATAATTAGAATTTTAAATTAATGTTATTAATGACATTATCTAATGGTTAATATAATCCTATATAATAAAAGCCTAATATGATAAGTGTCCAGTCGTCCAGTAGTTCATTCAACCAATCAAAGCATAATATGTTAATTATATTCTAAGGCCATTCAACTGCTTGCTACAACATGCACTGACCACCAGGGGGCAGACAGTTGACCCATTGAGCAATAGCTATGATTTGCACTGGCCACCAGGGGCAGACAGCTGACTGGTAGATTAGCTTGCTGTTAGGGTCCTGCCAATCAGGACTGAGCGAGACAGGTCAGCCATGGCTTGGAGCCTTACCATGGTCCCTCCTCAGCCCTGATTGTGCACTGGTGGGGTTCCTTGGCCTAGCCTGTGCCCTCTTGCAATCCAGAACCTCTTGGGGGATGTCGGAGAGCCAGTTTCACTCCAATCCCGCTCAATAGGATTGCCCCTGATGGTCAGTGCACTTCCACAGGGGGCGTGCACTCAGCTAGAAGTTGGGCTCATGGCTGGCTAACAAAACAGTGGGGGTGGGAACCTCTCATGCCTCCACAGCAGTGTTAAGCATGCCCGACTGCCAGCAGTTGAACATCCCCAAGGGCTCCCAGACTGTGAGAGGGCTCAGGCTGGGCTGAGGGGTCCCCCACTCCATGGCCCAAGTACACAAATTTTGTTCACCTGGCCTCTAGAGTTCATAATAATTTATTTGGTCAATACAATCAGTAACTTTTGAAATGTGAAACATTGGAGAAAAGACTTGATACTATAGTAATTCAAAGTAACAGGAGACATTTAAGGATGTTGAAGGGACTGAACATTGTCTCTGTGACTCAGGATGCTAAAATAGCTTAAGTGCTTTGCATATACTACCTTGTTTGTTTGTTTTTTAAGTAGTCTTATTTCTAGCACCAAAATTAAGCATATGTTTATCACATGTTTAGTTTTAATTTATTCTTGACTTTAAAAATAGTGAACTATAAACAAATCTATAACCTGTTTTAATTTTGATATTTAATATATCCAAAGTATTACTAGTAAAATAAAACCAGTTTCTATGGTAAATTTAGAATAATCCTTAGAAAAAATAATTTGCAAGCTATGTCCATGATCTATACTGCATTTTGTCTCCTGCCATCATGCCAGTGTTGTGGTGAAAGTTCTTCTTTTAATTTTTTTTGGTACAAATTATAATGGTTTTTCTATAGAAAACACATTGAACACTTTGGGTGGTTCTATTAAAGTTTTGAACACAAGATCAGTTATTGCAAATTCCTGTGCATCTGCAAAATAGGAATTATACATTTGTATAGCTCTTACTTTTAATTGAATTTTTAAAATAATGGTTCTTTTTGGGAAGCAATTTAATATAGCATTTTGGCAAGACATGGTTAATACTCTGCTAGCAAGGGCTCAATCGGGTCAATATCTGGAGTTCCTCAGCACTAAATTCAAATCAAATTTAAGGAGCATCAAGAAGGTTTATGGTAACCTATAATCATCAAAGACTTTTCCTGAGGTCTAGTGTGATCTACATTACTTTCCATTCTGCTGTGTTTCAGGAGGTTGCCTCTTTGATGAGCCATATAGCACTTGTGGATATAAGCAAGCTGACGATGATGACTTCAATTGGGAGCAAGTGAACACCTTGGCCAAACCAACTTCTGATCCATGGATGCCATCAGGTTTGCTTTTTGTTTTAAGTTTTTTTGTTTATTTTTGTTTTAAATCAAATGTTCACAAGAGTCTTAATCGCAGTAAATATTCACTGGGTATTGGTTGAATGAGTGAGGGTGTAGGTCTCTGAGTGTGGCAGCCAAGGACCGGTTAACTAGTGAGAGCGCTACTACAATTAAGAAGACCAGTTGCAAAGAGTTTATCTTTGTCTCTTTTTATTTAAAGTCTAATTAAAGTTTACTTCCTTTACCTTTGGATGCATCTGAGCTAGATTAATGGGCACTTCCCAATTAATCCTTCCCAAGCAGCAGATATAGGAAATAGATTGATGTCTCTTTTGTCAAATGTGACTAGTGAATCGAACTGTAGCTGAGGAATCGAAATTACAGTCTTGGTCACGAATTGGAGAATTGGAGACCTTGGGAGGTAGCATAAACCTTGTCCTCAGGGGTTCACCTGGCACCTGGGTGATCTGTGAGGATGCCAGTGATCTTGAAAGCATTCTTCAGATGAAACAGTGATGCACACATGTGGATGCTTTGTCCTCTGTATAAGTGCTTCGTATATTTTCTGATGAGTAAAGGACATTTGCTCCACTGAACACCAGCAAGAATTCTACCTTATATTCAGAAGGAAGAGTGGGAAGATCATTCTTAGTGAACTCTAATCTCATTGGAGCTTGATCATTTTAATGGACACCCTTTTCAGGCTGTGATGTTGGACGTCTTTAAAATTTTAGATTGGAAATTCATATTATAAACTAGATGCCCAGTGCACGAAATTCGTGCGCTTGGGGAGGGGAGTCACCTCAGCCCAGCCTGCATCCTCTTGCAATCCAGGAGCCTTTGGGGGCTGTCTGACTGCCATGAAGGCTTGAGAGGCTCCTGCCACCGCCACTGTGCTCACCAGCCATAAGCCGGGCTTCTGAGTGGTGCTCCCCCTGTGGGAACACACTGACCACCAGGCTTGCGGGGGTGGCAATTAGGAGCAATCATTTTGACATGGAGGGGGAAGTTGGGGGTTACCAGGCAGGCAGGCAGGTGAATGATTAGGAACCAGTGAGCCAGGGATCCCCAGGATTGGGCCTAAACTGGCAGGTGGACATCCCCTGAGTGGTCCCAGATTGGAGAGGGTGCAAGCTGGGCTGAGGGACCCCCCTCCTTATGTATTTTGTGCACCAGGACTCTAGTTTGTTAATTATTGTCTGTGGCTGGTTTTAAGCTACCACAGCAGGTGTGTAGTTGCAGCAGACACAGTAGTCTCCACAAAGCCTGGATATTTTCTGTTTTGTTCTTTTCAGAGAAAAAAAAAATGTGTGTATTCCTCTTAAACCATTTGGGTACCAGCATATAATTGTGGCTTTGGACTCTTAATTTATATTGTTATTGTTTTCTATACTCATATTTATTAACATACATTATTTCACATTTTGTTTCACTATCAGTTTGTATGTTTTCCAAACATTTGGGCTATTAAAATCAGTGAGAAAAAAAGCTTGATGAGTAGGACTTCTCTATCTTCCCCATAAATTTGCTGCCTATTAAAGCATTGTGATTTTCTTTATTGTTTAGTTACATAATCCTCGTGGGACTATTGTAAGTCTAAGAAGCAAATAATCGATCAAGATGAGTTTAAAAATTATGACAGTGAGAGACTAAAATTTTTATTCTAATTTTAAAATTTACTCTAATTAAAATATTACTTTGTCTTCTTTGAAATAGATGCTCTAGCAGGCGTCTTCAAACTACGGCCCGCGGGCCACATGTGGCCCGGAGAGGAGTCTGATCCGGCCCGCCAGGTTTTTTGGGCAGTGAGCGCAGCCGAGGTGTTACAGTAGGAATTAGTAGTTCATATAGTCCGGCCCTCCAGCTCTCTGAGGGACCGTGATCTGGCCCCCACTTTAAAAAGTTTGAGGACCCCTGCGTAAGTGTGTAGGGTTTGCTTTTCTTTCTCTTCAGGTGTGAGGTTATTTTTAGCCACATTAAAAAATTTTAAATACAATCTAGAGCTTTATACATGCTGACATAATAACTACTCTGAGGCTCTGACATTGACTTTGGAAATACATATTTAGGGCAAATAAATACCAAATAATTTATGTTTTTGCTTAAAGTCGACAGTTGCGTTATAATGGATTATAGTCTTTGAATCAGACAGTTTTTCTGATGGTTGGGAACTTTCTTAAACTTTGTCATAAGGATTGCCACTTTGAGCACAAGAAACTTTGATTAAATAACCAAATAAAAATCAGGCATCTTGTTACACTGGTTCATGCTATCACTCTATATACTGTAGTATAGGTGTAATTATAAACATAGAGTAAGAATTATTGATTAAGCATTTTATGATATAAAAACACCTACATAGTTTGACAGTGGTTGATGGTTTCTTTAATATTCTCAAATTCTTTATTTATATAGTTAAAAAGATTTTTTTTATCTTACAAAATCATAGATGCTTCAGAATTCAAAACCTAATGTATTAAAATCAGTACTGTTTTCCTCTAAAACAGGCCTGTCATTTTACTTTGCATGATCTATAAATAAAAAGCAGAATTTACAATTATATTACTCTGAACCTTTCTATTGTATTGACATTCCTGAACCTTTGACATAATCCAATTCACACGTAATGAGAGGTTCTGATAGATCTGATTTTGTACCAGACCATATGTTTCCCGGGGCTGCCTTTGTATCCTCAATGCATAGCACAATTTTTAGAACTTTGTAGGTTCACAAAAGATGTTTCCAGGATGAGTGAAGAAAATGTATAGGTCCTTATTTCAGAGACCTTACAGTCTACTGAAAAAGATGGGTTTTAGCCCAGTGAGAGATCCTTTTCAGACCTCTAACATACAGACTGAAAGATAATACATTTTTGGTGTTTTAGGCCACCAAGTTTATGTTCATTTGCTATGAGATGGTTGATGTTTTTATATTTCATTAGAATATAACGTGTAACTCAGTGTTCCAGTTCTATAAAATAGTTTACAAGTTCCATAGTTTATGAATAAGAATATGTGACCCTGTTTTATATTCTAAAAGATAAACACTAAATCCATTTGTAAGAAATACAAGGGTAGTTTATAGCCACAGGCATTTGATAGTCATAAAGCTGGTTTTTATTTCTACACAACATGGTCTCCTTAAGATACCATGCCTCTAAAAAGCCTATACTTAAGTGAATTTGGGTCCTAGTGCTGGGAAAACAAAACATTATGCTTAGTGCTTTTCTAAGTAGCAGATCATGCATCTAGCGGGAAGCTCATTTAGTTTCCCACATCCAAGCTTTACATATTGCAAATTGAGAACCGTGTTGTTTCTGATCTTTATGGAGATGCAGTGACTGATGATTGGATCATTTCTCTGGGTGTTCATATGAAAGAAAGAGAGAGGGAAGTGCCAGGCTGGAGGAGCAATATGCACTCTTAGTGTGATGACCCAGAAAATAGAAAAAAATGACTGTATTTGTGTAGAGTTAGTTTCACATTTGGGAACATGATGGATGGACAGACAAAGGAATTGAAGTTTTCATTTTGGGTGCATTCATCAGGTGTGTTTTGCTCCTGCTAGGGAAGGCTTCTCTGCTTACCTACACTTCAGGACTTATGCGGGGCTTAGTGAGTGAAGAGAAGACTAAAAAGGGCTTGAAATGATATTTATTTCCTTACTGAATTTCAGTGTGTATGTAGTGAGTGATATTTTTGGCACAGAATAGTCAGACAGCTGTCTAATTATCTCATTCATTTTTTTAATCTTGTCACCGTTCAACACATATTTATTGAACACCTGCTATGTGCCAGGCACTGTTGGAGATGCTGGGGAGTCATCACTGAGTGCACCCCACACTCCCAATCTGGTGAGATTGTTCTCGGATTGCCAAAGAATCCCATCCTATAAGACCATATTTTCCAGCACTTATGATTGACTTTCTGGAAATTAGTATTCAAAAAAAAATACAAAATTTAGTGCATCAGACTCAGCACATTATATCATCAAATTCAGCTTTCTTGTATGCTTTGTTCTTTAAAAAAGAGCAAAATCATCTAAGTCACAGGCATGGGGCAGTATAGTATGTTGTAGTAATTCTCTTTTTTAAAGCAAACTGAGCTTGTGATATGTAAATGACAATTAGCAGTTGACAAAGTTTGCTTTTTTTTTTTCTTTATATAATTTAATCCTCATGATGACCCTGGGAGATTGGGTGGCATTATCTCTATTTTATACCCTGGGAGACTGAAGTTCAGGGAAATTAAACTTGCCCCAGATATCATGTGAGAGAAGCAGCCCCCATACCTGCTTCTCGAATGCCAAACAATGATCTTCCCTTGGGGGCAATCATCTGGTGAAGCAGGTTAGGTGGCAACTATTCAGATCTTGAAATGCACATGAAGGCTGCCAGGTCAGATGCTGGCTCTCTCGCTTCGTAGCTATGGAACTTGGGCAAGTGCTGCAGGTCCCAGTTTCTCAGGCTTCTCATCCGTGAGCTATTAGTTAGTAATATATGTCTGTGGAGTGATGGAACTGCCTCAGTAGTCTCTGTCTACCTACCAGTTCTGTCCCACGGAGGAGGCAGGTAGTCAGGTAATAAGCAGAGACATGTGGGGACAGATGCCATGGGGGGGGGGGGGGTGGTGTGCATGCTAAAGACTGTGAAGAAAACCTAAATCAGGATAAAGGCTTAGTGAGCGTTGGGAGCCATAGACAGGAACAGCCTCTCTGAGCAGAGCCTGGAATCCAGTTTGGGACACGGTTGTGAGTTACCGGGTGGAGAAGAGCAGGAGCGAAGACTGAGATGGGATGAACTCTGTGGGAGGGTGGTCAGTGAGAAGTTGTGGAAGGGCATTAGAACTTGCCTCATAGGTTGCTGACCAAATGAGACAAAAGAATCCACTTCGGGAACTTAGTTTTGAACCTGGCCAAGCGCAGTGTTCGGGAAATGTCCTCCTTTTATCGTTAAGAAGTAATCTTCAGAATAATTTGGAGTAGCCTCGTTAGTACTCTCTGCG